TTGCTTCTATCCATCCTCCTCAACCTTGGGACTTCTTGTAACGGTTGCGGTTTTCGTAGTAACATGCTCAGCAGAGCTCCCACTAATTTTCGGCCTGCTTAGCACTAATGGAAGACTTTTGTCTCTACCATTTTTTTCGGTAACAAGGTTGTTTTGGAACCGACATTGGTACTAGGTGCCGTCCAAGTAGGGTAGGTACGGCCTATCGCGAGTGGGTTTTCTTCATAGCATCCAGCACCCCTTGCTCACCTTTACCTATTTTATCGATTCCTGGCCTGTTCTGAGAAACGAGTAATTTTTGCTTTTGGCATTTTTCGCTGTATGCCGTACGTATCGTTGGCGGACCCCTCTTGGAGCCCTGTTCTATTATACAGTCACCCATGCCATCCGTCCCAAGCTTGACTCGACTACCAAAGGTGGCCATGTAGTTGGCATTGAAATACAAACATACTACAGTCGATATCCGAAAGTTGGGGTGGGTGTGTCACCGGAAGTGACGTGCACTTGATAGAAGTTGCGTGGATAAGCTGTTGCCAGCATGCTTTGCTGATATCCAGCGATGTATGTTGGAAGCAGCTTATCCACATAGCTTCTATCAAGTGCACGTCACTTCCGGTGACACGCCTACCCCAACTCTCGGATAGCGACTTCACTAAGAATTGTAATTAGTTCCATAGCTTGATTCACAAGTATCATTTGATTGCTGGTACGGTGATATACCTCATGATAACCCATTATGTCAATTTACATGCTTGTTCATAAACATACTCCTGAATTGTGTTTTGTCGTATTGCACTTGGACATTGACAGAACTCACGAGTAATAGTATTGAGGGGGGGGTGGCTGATGAGTGAGGTACTCCACAGCAGTAAAAGCAGAAGAGGTGTGGTTTTCTCCAGAAGTTCCCGATGCTCCCGCATCGGTAGCTGTATAACCACTTGTGGTTCCACTGGTAGTGCAGCTAGTTTTGCCAGCTGTACACATAGTTGACCTCACTGGGTCCACCCGTGTTTATTCCCAACGCCGTAGAGTCGAAAGACTGCCTAGATACCAGAGGCCGGGCCTTGCTGCACTCGGCCACTGGTGTCCGCCTGACGTCCTGGCACCTCAGTCGGTAACCGCTCTGGTTCAACGGTTATCACGAAATCGCATGACTGGTATTGAACCCGTAAGGTGTTGGAATTGCTCGGCGCGTGGTGGAACGCAGCAACTCGACAACGACAGTTTTCGCTGGCCGCGCTCTGTACTGGAGTCTGGCGGGTAATTAATAAAGTACCTTGGCGATAAAAAGTCATAAAAACATCGCGTGAAAAATCACTCACCTCCACCAAAATACGGGGACAGTTTTGTATTCGCCTTATTGATTTCCATGTTGAGTATTTCGTTGCCAAAGACCTGATGAAACTTAATTTTGTACTTTGTTTTTGTCGTACTATCATGTGTGAATGATTCGGTGAGGGTACGGGAGGCTAGTCCAAACCAATCTCCAAATCATAGTTGAGTTCAATAGAGATGGATGTTTAAGCGCCGTTGAATCAATTTTCATCTATGTGATCGAGAACTTACGCGAAACCTTAAAGGCAGTGTTTGGCTCATGCGGTGGGTTTTGGAGAGGTTCCACTCGGAATGAGAAGGTAGTCACGAAGTAAGACACCCCGAAACCGTTTTGGCAATTTTCTGTTGGAGCCGTATGTGAATGTTGAAAAGCAATGGCTCCGCACGTGACGGGTATCTCATCGGTCTCTGAAAGCCGCCCTCAACTTTACAATGCGCTTTACTACTGCAGGATGCAAGCTTTGAAAGAGAGATTACGCGCACCTTGCGACAGAGCGGTCAAGTCGGCTGCTCTCCACGGCTTCAGTCCCTGGGGTGAGCAACACCCCGCCCTAGTCCTTTGCCAGGCTGCTGGGCCTAGCTGCACCACTTGCGTCATCACTCTCCTACCGTACCGACCGAGTTGAAGTAGTCCGTCGACCTCGGGGACCCCCATCCCCTCCCCAACATTCAGCATACGGCTCCCAGCAGAAACGCCAAAAGGGCTGGTTTGCTTACCTCGGTAGTCACTGGTGGAATTACGTTGAACGGTTGTCTGAATCACGCCTCCTAGCGTGCTGAGGGAATTGGTCTACTAATCACGCCACTAACATGAAATCCTCCAACCCTTACCCGTCGCACCCACTGCTTTTAAACGCCTAAAGCTGATCCTATCTGCCACGATTTTTGAAAACTGACTGAGCAAACGTGCTAACCCAATCACATCGCGCTGTAACAGCCCACCTTTCTCACCGGCTTTTTTACTCGATGGTAGCTTAAACTTGAGATGGATATCAATTATCGACTCACAAGGAACTCAACCAAGGTCTCATTCTTGTAGAGTTGCTGATTATACTGGTGGCTATACTCGTACGCTGCTAATTCCCACAACGAGTATTCAGTGGACTTCTTGACCGTGTCCTTGTTTCCATAGATAGCTACACCAATCAGCTGAAAAAACGGATCGAGTGTTGCGTTGAAAGATGGCGAAAAGGGGCGCCCATGTCCATGGGGGGCATCTTGGGACCAGGGTGAATATCGCTCGAGGATTCCTCAACGGCACGTCGAGGATTTTCGCCTGATCAGTTACGTTCTCCCGCGCGGACATTCACACTCGCCATGCGCGAGCCGTCTGTGCTCTCCGCGCGTACGTTCACTCTCGGCACTACTCTCGCACAGTAGAGAGCCATGGTCGAGGAATTCCTCGACCGTTATTCACCCTGCTTGGGTCTAAGCCTTAGCAGGGGAAGGGATTCTGCGGGAGGATGCAAGCAATATGTGTGCTCCCTGGCGTTTCTCCCTCTCCTGGGCTTAGTCCTAGTGTCACCTACATCGGCCCTGTTGTCGATGTCCCCCCCCCCCCAAAGGGCATGAGCGCCCGTACGAGTCACCAAATAAGCGCCCTTGTCCTTAGAGAGGGGGGTGGGGGAATACAAAACAGAGCCGATGCTAGGCGACACCAGGACTAAGCGCAAGAGAGGGGAAACGCTAGTTATCAGATTTACTTGGAGGCCGCCGTTACTTGTGTTGTAGAGTCTGTAGTGCAGACTTCCCAGACCGGAGGATACCATGGGTAGGTTGATAAGACCATCATAGAGCATATGGCTTCAAAAAACTTACTGTCACATGCTCCATATTGGTTATCTGCGTTTCGATTGACTCATTACGATTACTAAACGAGAGTAGTCCAAGAAGGAAGTCGACCTAAAAAAGAGAAGAAAATCACCCCTAGCGATAGAGGTGGTTGCGCACAGGTGACGATCGCTGAAACAGCGTTCACACCTGGCGAACTTGCAGCCAGTTGCCTATGTGGAGCATAAGTTACTTGCTGCATCGTCACGTATAGAAGTGCCCAAAGAAAGGCAAAACGGTGCTAAGTTAGTTGGGGGGGGGGGACCACGCGGCGGCGCGGCGCTCTGTTCGTCTGCTCCTCCAAGGCTTAGTCCGCCGATGGCGCGTATTTCGAAACTGCCACGTGGCGACGAAATAGTAACTGCCCCTTGGACTAAGCCTTGGAGGAGCAGACGAACAGAGCGCCGCGCCGCCGCGTGGTCCCCCCCCAACCCACTTAGCACCGGCCAAACCGCTTGCCAAATATTGATTGAAGCCCTAAACGAATGATAAGGTGAAGGAGAAACTGCTCACTTCATCTGACGAATTTTTTGGCGGATTAAGACGAACTCCGTAAAGACATCGCTCGAAGGGAACAAGTATACCCATAATTTGGCCGAATGGATAGGATAGGTTGACAAGTCCTGTCAGAATTCCCATTTGTTTCGATATCCCATAGGCAATATCGAAGCTCCTCTAGAAAACATATCGATTGATGAAAAATGAGCGCGGCGCCAGCCGCACCGCATACGCGAGAACATTTGGTCGTAACATGAACAACTAAATGGACGAGTTACCGTGAAGGCATTGAAAACTTCGTCACCGAAACAATGTGGTTTGCACATTTCGCGATAGATCAGACGACGTTCCCCGTATTTCATTGTCATATTTTGGACGCTTTGAACGATTTCTTTAGCTTCATCGAGGTATTCCTTTCGATGCATTGAACCACCGTCTTTTGCCAACATCAGCAAGGAGGTTATCATTGGGTCATCTGGAAAGAACTCAATGGCTGATGCAAATATGAAGACTCAAGAACACATGTTTATCAGCTAAAAGAGAAGCTGCGGTTGTGGGTCAATAGATTTGCAGCGACGCCCCGACACTAAAATACTGCAACTACCTTGCCGCAATTTCACTGCGCTGTGGCAGTTGAGATCTCCTGACCCACACCTCACACGGCTGCCGCCATTGCTGCACGGCCAAGCATGGGACGGAGCGGCTGACAGTATTGCTGATCGCATTGACTATCCCTGTGATATGGCTATTGTAGCTTGGAATGCAGATTAAGTGCGTGTCCCGTTGCTAGCGAAAATGCTAGTCCCAGCCGCCTTATACGCACATTCTAGATCGGAAAGCGACATCTTCACCTTTGCAAATGGCTCTGTCCAACACATAACATGATTGGTCGCCCAGATTCTGGAAGGTGCCCATTTTAAGGCCCTGTCGTGTACATTCGTCTGGGGAACTCTCACAAAGGGTCGATTGCAGGACGACCGGTGAACAGGGCCATTAAATACAGCAGTGGCAGGCAACGCTGTGAAAGGGTCTCGAGTATAAATGCGCACTTTCAAGCATTTGCCACCGTATTAGCACCGTAGAACTCTCGGAACTTGGCCTCATAACCTATCTTGCATCATCAGTGCTGTGTGACCTGCGCGAACATCGTTCTCAAGTACATCCTCGCATGCCGTAAGAACACAGCGACAGCATCGTGCCAACATTACAAACTACTGCAAAAAGGAACAGCAACTACGATTTCACAAGTTGAACGTCTTCCTAAAACACATGTTGAGCGCATTATATCTAAAAAAAAAGCGGTGAATACGCCCCCCATACGAAAGGAGCAGAAACGCGTGATATTTCCAACACAATCGGCCAAACCGACTAAAATTCCTCGAAGTGAGATAAATGACATCACCAAGCTCCACAAGGATGGTCGTTTCGGCGTAGCTGAAACATCAAAATATCAACGCCAAGTAAATCTCCGTGAGCGGTAATCAAATCTAGACGACGCCGCGCGACTGGGTGGGTTATTTCAGTAACCATAATCGTACGGATCATTGGGGACATCTAACCCAACCCCCAAATCATTATCTCAAAGATGGGACTTCCGGACTACAACGTAAGTCACAGACCAGACGGAATGCTGATCTACAGGGTGCGCCAAAATTACGGAGACAGCGACTTCGAGTTGCCTAGGATGAGCAAGGTGCAATTCTTTGAAAACAAAAATGCAGTGACGTGCACAGTCCCATTCTGAATCGTCGACATCCATGCAATTTTTGAAATTCCTTGGTTTGTGTTTATACGGGTCCTCAGAAACATCGAGGAACCATCGACTGTGGCACGCAATGTGGCGAGTAGGACTCGTCAAGCTCATTTTAGAGCGGTTTCTTCAACGAATCCCTAGACATAATGTGTTTTATGCAAGCCTCAGCTTCTAGAACGGATCCGACAGCGTACCCTATCGAGCTCAGATCTGAAATGCTGTTCTACCACCGTTTAAGCCGACAAAGTCGAAAAAATCGGTTCTGCATCAATGCTGCACTAGTACTGAACCACCCTTGCCTCGTAAACGGGAGCTCCTACTTGATGGAAGGCCCAGCAACGATTTTCAAAGTGAAAATAAACTCAGGATAGCAATGGGCTCTGATAAGTCCAAAAGAGCCCCCTGATTCCTATCTCTCGTGACATCCAGTGAAACCAGCGCGTCAACTACCTGCAAATTCTATCGCACACAATCCTTAGATTGTTCGTGGTCGCCACAGAAACACGCTCTTCTCATCCAGAATGACTGCATTAGCTCACTCTTGTCCCCATGCTACATGTGTACAGCACTATGAGATCGCGGGTAATACACCAAAACGAATGAATAATGTCGCAGATCCAAATAAACTCACTCAAACGTCGATAGTCCAATAATTAGGACGGTCTTGCTTACAGTCAAACCGACTCCACTAAGCCATAAATTTGTGGTGAACAAGGTAAGCCATAAAACAATTTTACAACCACATAAGATCAAAACAGAGAATCAGAAAAAACAAGCCTCTGTGAAATATCAACCCAAATTGATTTGCTCAATGCAGTGACTCCGTAAATTTTGCGCACCTAGTATTGTCACTTAGTTATCGGGCGCCTATTTAAACTAAAAACATTAAACTAAACTAAATTGATTCTAGCCAAAAGGCCGAGGAAAGCAAATTGATGCTCTTGGGCTTTTTTATCTCGACAACGACATCCCCCTATCCTCAAAAGACCATTGAGAGGAAAAGAGGAAAGAGAATCCTCATAAGACACCATGCCCCTCCTCCTTCCCTCTCCTCAACACCACCCTCATCACCACCATAGCTGGTTCTATAGAATGTGACACTCAGAGACCATCAACACACTTCGACCCCCCCCCCCCACGACTGAACAAACGAAAAATAATCTAAGTTCGCTCGCTTCAATTTCCCGTGAAGTTTTCAACCAAAACTGTCAAAAACTCGTCAGGATCCTCTCCTCCTCCACTGCAACACAACCCTTCTCCACATCCACCTCCACAACCCTATAGAGGTTTCAAATACGACCCCTTTTGTTGCCATCATCACATACAAGAACCAAAATACGACCTCTCCCCCTACCCCACGTGGTTTAGTCAGTAACGACCCAGCTCGTAAGTCTATCAGAGCGACGAATGAAGGATGCAAGTTCTCCCTTCCAAACAACCTCCGAACTCCGCAGTTAGCCCTATCGAAGATGCCTGAGTGGAAATCATATTGATAATGTGAACTCTGATAACTAGTACATAGGATTTCATTTAGAAGTGAACCTCTTCAATTCCCAGTGGTACAAGTTACTATGATACGCGCAATTGCCACCACCCCACTGCCATCAATTATCCATACCCTGCACATCCCATTAAGCACCAGTCCTCGTGCGGGTACCCCGAGAGGGGTCAGGGGTATCAATTTCGGCGCCCATGTCCTTAGGGGACATTAAAAACAGGGCCTATAGCAAGGTGACACTAGGACTAAGCCCAGGAGAGGGGAGAAACGTTGGGAACACACATATTGCACACATCTTCCCCAGAATCCCTTCCCCTCCCTAAGGCTTCGTCCCAAGTACAGTAATTGGCTCACTCACTTGAATGCCCCCTCCCCGACGACTTGAGCTCTCAGCCTTTTCTTTAATTGCTAAAGAATTGACCACCCGACAAGGTTTCTGGAAGCCGTTTTTGTAAACACAGGCACCGCAAGTACCCAGCTGCACACATTGTTCAAGACTGCTTTATGCGTCCAAATGGGCAACCTACTCCATTTCCGTACTGGACCACTGTCAATTGTGGACGAATACACACGCATGGACTGTTAGAGCTAGGCACCTTAGAGACACGAAACCCTATCTAACCTTGCTCCGTCTCTCCAGCGGTCTTACCAGGCTGTTCTGGATCCGGTCGTGCAGCACCCTATATCAACGAGAGATCCATAACAATCCTAAAGGGCTCAAGAGAAAACATACCTGCTCTGCAGGTGGCAGCAGTGGTTCCTTGTCGCCATCATCTTTCACCTGCATGTTTCACGCCTCACCGAACATGGCCTGATGCTGCCGACTGAATGATCGGTATTCCTTCATACCTGCTTATAAAGCCTTTGAAATGATAAGCTCTCGTAAGGCTATTAATCACATAGTATCATGAACATGTGATAGCATGGGTGTGAGCTGCTAGAATAAAACGGTCTTTTTTTCGCATTTTGCAGTGCGAAAACATTCCGCCTTGAAACCCCGGGTTCACCCTGATCGTGAGTGGACCTGGTATTCCCACAATAAGGATCTTTTGCCTTCGAATGCGTAAAAGTCGCTTTCTATCCTGGCGATAGACACCCTGATAGGTCATTACAAAACTGTCGGAAATTGGTATAAGTATATTTCCAGCAGTTGGTGTTTGCCGGAGAAATCCTTGACTCCATTAGCACAATCCACACTGTCAGCAGCGTTGAAAAGGAGAGCCTTGTAAAGACAAGATATCAGCTCACCAAACCGTCCCTCTGTACGTAACCAAGAGAGAAATGAGACATCGCACGTCTTAGCGTGCTTTTACGGAAATACATTACCCACTCGTGTTCCTTTTTTCGCTCACCGTCTATCTCCCCCCCCTCCCTACGCGGCTACATCTTCCCTGGCTCAGATGTTACCGTAGCCTTTGGAGGTCCGCACCATGATGCCCCTCCCCTAACTGGATATGACCCAATGAATCTACAAGGGTGGCTAAAAAAGGATACACTACTTCACACTGCTGAACTTTAACGGACTGCTCCCAACTTAATATTGAACAGTACACACCATTCTACCAATAACATAAAAAGCTTCCGCCAGCTACAGTACCCAGCAAGACGGGCCTCGCAATTGTCTGTGCTCAGGCTGGCACCGTTACTCACTCTTATGCCGCAGGAAAAAGTATAACGGTAGCTGTCAGAACTTGCGTCGCATGAATCGCGCGATTCGCAAGGCGATTGATCAAATTTTAACAACTCCTTGTTTTTTCCACATCATAAAACCACATAGAATCGGAAGAATCGATACATTACCATTCATTCCTACAGAGCTCAAGTTGTACTTTGAACTAAAGTATCGAGAAAACGTACTCCTGTAATGAATACAGTAATTCCGTTCTCGAGCCAAAGTGGTGTGTACGATACATGAAGCATGCGGCACATGTGTGCCCTTTAACGAAAAAATTACGTAAAATTACACCACTTGGGTAACCAACACGATTTTTGGTACCCCACATTGTTCAAGTATTCATATGTTTCCGCTCAGCAGAGTTTCGCATGCAGGTTTTTTGGGCTCCTGTTTGTTAACTGCTGTTTTCACGCCGCAGATCGTGTTGTTAATGCTTCACAAGAGCTCGCAGGTTCGATTCCCGCTGTGTGGCGCAAAGTCTTGCCCACAACTCAGCATTCTTGTGAACGATCAAATACCTTCACAATTATGTGTTTAGCCGACTTCCTCAGAAAGAAGAAGAAAGTAGAAAATTGGACTTAAAATCTCATGATAACGAAAACACTAGGGCGTGTTATCCACATTTATTACGACTGAACCACATCCCTTACAGATTATACGTACATATCACATTCAACGATGCACATTCCCATTACAATAAAATTTAACTATTATCTCATCTCTATCAACCAGCTATCACAGTGTTAACAATAAAACTCTAAAATTGTCATCGCATTCACAACTCAAATAACAAAGCACAATGGATTGTCATCATCATCACTGACAACTGGGAACTTTGCCGGAGTGAAACAGAAAACGGCTGTTATGCAGAAAAAAAACCTCTTGCTAGCTCCTTTCGAAGCTGGAATCGAATGTTATTAAAAATCAAATCTGGTAAATCGATTTGTTAATTATCGATCGATACTGATAACTAATCTATGGCCGTTCCTGAGGCGGATGAGCCGTTGAGTGAAAGGAAGCGTGGTGATGAGTAGGAACATAGTTTTGCTGCTGGGCCTGAAAGAATTTAAAGCACTACGGATTTCAGCAGGAAAATAGTGAGACAGCAATCACAGCTAGCGATCCTCTGCTCGTCGCAACGCGTAGCGATACAGTTGCCAGCAAGTTTGGCCCCTTCTCATTCCCTCTCGAATGTTATATTACTGACATTATTCACCTCGTGTATTTGTTCTATGCCCTTTCCTTTTGGTTCTTCTTGCTACGAGAACAAAACCAAAACCCAATCGGTAACGATACTCGGGTGATAACGAAAAGTGGTGTTTTTGTGCCGACGAAGCTTGATTGGAGTATCCGCGTAAGAGCCGAATCACCCACCGCGAGATTTCATGCTTTATCCTAGTTCAGAGCGCTCAAACCAGACTATAATGGACCTGTCTTGTCCAGATATGGAAAAAATAATTCTAAAAATAAAAATAAAGCTAGACGTGTGAGTTCGATTCCCGCCTGGGGAGTAATGTTTACCCATAACTAGAAACTAAATTCTTGTGAATAAGTAAAATACCAGATTAAATGTAGAAAAATGTTTACCAGATCTGAAACTTGGCTGAATGCGCTGTGCGGTGAAGCTATGAGTGGCATCGAAGGTATGGGTAGTGGATTTGCAACCGAGTACTGGAATTGAAGTCATTATTTCACCTGAGAATGTATGATTAGAGTGTTTGACTTGAAACATGGTTAATCGTCACATTGGTAAAAATTTTGTAATTGGACGCCCATCCTCTCACGGACGACCGCCCCAAGATGTCAAGGTGAACCAGGGGTAACCGCCCCCTACGGGTTTCCCAAATTTCGATCCCGAACCTTTAGAATCATGCCAAGTGGGGTGGGTATATAAATGCTGCAATAGCAAATTTTCGAAATTTCTCCCAAATCTAAAAAGAAAAATTCCAACATTTCATGCTTCTTCAAAGATACGGTCCCTTAGGTAAGAACATCTTCAAGGACGGTCAATCATACTTTAGAGATTATTGCAGTGAAAACCTCCGCATTAATCCATAGGAAGTGAATATAGATTTCGTTACTCGAACAGGTTAAGAAGTTTGAAAGGGGATCACTTAGGAATTCTAATTCAATTCCAAAAAAATAAAAATCAAAATAGAAGACATATGGAGGAAAGGCAATAAGATACCTGTAGCTCCGAACACACTGAATACCCTACCGAAAAGAGGAAAGAAAATGAAAGGAAAGGGAAAAGGACAAAAACGTCGTGACAAAAATAGAAATGAAAAAAGAAATGGTTCCATAAATAAACTACCTGGGTGGACTGGACCGAAGCCGACGTTGAATATTGAGGAGGAACTAAAAAACATTACACTCAATTTCATGAGAAACTATTGGACAAACCTCAGCTGTTTTACGACCCGAATCGGGAAAGCTCAAGGGGCCTAACCATTGTTGCGGTATGCACTTGCACCCGCAACGTCCTTCTTGTTTTGGTCACCGCCTGTCAGTGGGAGTGGCTTTCCCCTCGCTCGGACCGGCAGTTAAGGTTTTACCGACAGCTGGAGCGCCGTCCACGAGGGCTGACCCCGCTGACAAGCGAGCGACGGTTGGTCTGTACCACTATAACTCCATTTATCCTTTGTATCGTTTGGCAAAATAAATATATAATCAACTGAGTTTGTTGAAAAATAGAAAGGGCCGCGACATAAATTTCTGGTGCATCGGCCTTTTTCAATCCAAGCTCTCCCGCGTGGCAAATCCCGATCAGCTTGTTCTGCCTCATCTTAGGTTACAGAACCGCTGATTTCCCTAAAAGCAATAAAGCTCGAGAAATATGAGCAAAATACCATAGGCCATAATACCAAAATACCATAAGCCATCGGTATATGCTGGTAGCCTAGCATTTGATCGATTAGAGGGTATGAGGAATGGTCAACTATCAACCTGGGTGGATCTCTAATGCCAAGAAACTACATTTCATCTTTGAAATTCTCACCTGGTGTAGCAAATGCCTTTGACAAATCCGCTTGTGGCATGTACTGTTGATGTTGTTGTTGAAGATATTGCTGGTGTTGGGCATAGGCAGCTGCTGCTGCTGGATGGTAGTTCACTGCATAGTTCGGATATTGGTACTGCTGCTGTTGTAGCTGCTGTTGTGCGTAGTACTGCGATTGTGAAACAGGTGGAGATGACGAAACTTCTTGATAGTGCTGATGCTGTGGACGAGCTGGAGGTTGGACTGGAGCATGCGATGACGATGGAGCCTAAACTCGGGCTCTCATGAGTCATCGATCCATAAGCTATTATCGACATTAAGCAAAGAGGACGTTCAGAAGTTGGAGTGCTTGATGCCGGCGATCACGTGAAGGCTTTATCAGATGATTGCCGGCGCTGGTTCACTGGAGAAGGCATCATTATGCATAAAGCCCATACACCCAACAGACCCCCTCACCCCTAGCCACCTAGGATTAAGCCTTAGGAGAGACTGGGGAAGCGGGTGTAACGAATTTCCATTTTCCCCAAAATTCCTCCCCTCTTCCTAGACTCAGACCGCACAACGATGCCACCTCCTCCTTCCCTTATTACACCAGCGCCTGATTTCTTTAAGGTTTCGTGAAATCCAGCAGAACACGGAAACAGGATTCTTTTTTTCTCAACAAATTAAATAATGCCAGAGAGAGGAAGAATGGTTCTTCCTTGACCCAATTGAAAAGCTCTTAAACTATATCTCTGATAAAGCCTTCACGTGATTACTGAACAACGCTTCACAGTAAACAACAGGGTTGGAACAGGGAAACATACCTGGGCAGTCGAATCAGAAGCCACGTCTGCGTCGGCTGCGGTTGAAACCATGCTGTACTGTGAAGCAGTACTAAGTGGTAACGATCCGGTTATAGGAGACGACGCAGATGCTGGCGAAACGGCGCCCGAGTGCACTATTACCTCCGTCTGAAACAAACTTTCATGCATGGTACGAAGCAATAAATGCATAAAATATAGCATTAGGCGCTTGATTATCCCTTTTCTATCACTTCCACATCTTCTACTGCCTCACTTGGCATGCATTCACGCACTCTTAGTGGTCTGTACGATAGTAACGGATGTGCAGCCAGCCGATGTAGAAGGCAGTATTTCCGCCACCACACGCGTTCGATGCCGAATAAGCGACTGAGGAAGGATGGGAAACCGGGCCGTCTGGCTGACCACACAGGATTCGAGCGTGGTAAGCGCCACCGCTTGTTACACCTCACCCGTGAGAAGCACTGTCATTGACCTCCATTTTTTCCACGAAATGTACAGTAGCTCGCACTCAATTTTTCGCAGAATCTTGAAATCATGGTGTGAAAATGTGCTTTTCACCACACCTTGCACAGGCGCACCGCTGCTCAAAGAAACTGACTTGTGAAGCACATTTCTAACATAACGCGTTCTTAGCCTGCCGATTAACTCACCAATTCAGGTATATTCACAGGTGCTGTAGCAGGAACTTTTGCAGCAGACGGGACAGTGGCTGATTCGTGGTCAAGATGAGCGTGGTCCGCCGATGCAGGAACGGTCGATAAGGGCGCCGAGTCGGCGACTGAGGTGTCTGGTGCTGCTGCTGGCTGTGAAGCGGGCGTTGTTGTTGCAAACGGTAACGATTCCTGCAAACGCGATGGCTTTTAATTAACAACAGCCCAGCCTATTTTGAGCGAAAATGAGTCATTAAGGGAGCGTTTACCTCAGCGGGTGACGGTAAAGCAGGCGCTATTTGAACTCGCGATCCTCCTATTCGACTTGCCGACGCCACCGACGTCAACGACTTGGGCTCCGGTTGAGGCCTAATAACAGCTAATTATGACCATAACTTATCTGCCCTTTCTATTCATAATGGAGCAAAAACAGTGCTTTCGCAACCAAGAGAGCAATCAACATCGCAAGAAAAGATATAACCGGGACAACTCCAGCACTAATCAAGGCGATGTACCCATTGAGAAATCCTCAACGTGATGACGCTCCGTGGTTTCTGAGAGAAGAAATATTCATTGGGTTTGGTAGTGCATCATCGGAAAGAATTGAATAAGATAATTAACTGATTACATTAATTTTTGGAAAATCCACAAAATTTATGCGAATGTCAAAATTTCGTGGTGATTTCACCCATTTGATTGTACCATTACTTCCTCGACAGATTTTTGGGAGAGTGAAGAGCGGGCTGAGATAGCAGCTGGAGCAAGAGAAGAAATGAGCGAGCGAAAAGGATCCACAGGACTCCCAGAAGGTATTCGAGCAAGGACATATAAATGAGGCCAAACGATGCAGAATTAAAACAAATAACATCTAGAAACCAAAAACAGCCAAAACATGTAGTAGTTCACTTACGGTGCCACTGGCGGTGGAGTCTCTGGAAGAGTGTCACGAATGAGTTGCGGTAATACGTTACCCATTCTGCTGACAGTCATCTGGTGCAGTCCGGGAACAGACACAAATAGCCCAGTGCTTGCCATCACTAACAGCATGTTCTTCAGTGATTCTGGTACGGCCTAGGGAACCATTCGATTTAATCAGAGATCTCATCCTCTACACTCTCAAAGACATACCTCATTCAGATTCCCACAGCTGTCTATTCGGAGGTAACTTTCCATAAAGTCCAGTAATCGCAACCATAAACTTGGGAATGATGGTAGCGTAGAAAGAGCTCTGAAATGGAGCTCATATAGCACAAAATGATTTAATTTTTGTAAGCCTCATAAGATCAGTGGAAGATGTTGAAAAAACACACCAGTCAACATTTTAACCTGCGATTGATATTTTCAAAAATGTGACCGGGCCTTTCGAGGAGTTGCAATAATTGAGTAATGCTTTCAACTTCAAGATGAAAATTTAACTCACGACAAATGGTTTAGAAGGGTCTTAGCTACAATCTGCATCGCACGTACTCGTGTGTCTTCCATACCAATAGGATCCATCGCTGAGAACACGTCCAATAGCTTTGCCCAGTAATGGAAACAGAACCTGAACATTAAGAGCATACGGTGAAATATTATGCAATAGGATATCAGAAGTCGAAACACAATAAAAGGACGGGGAACCACTGACCTCGCCAAAACACGACTCCCACTCGGCGGCTGCTCCTAGATTGGCCATATTCGTTGGCAGGAATGCTCGCTGAAAAAAAAAAGTTATACAGA